TTGTTTATGAGTCAGAAGTCTCCTGAAACTCCAGGAGGAAATGATGACCGCCGGGCAGGCTGTGGGAAGAGGGATGGAGAGTCCTGGAGGCTGATGCTCCCCGCCCCGGCTGGCAGAGGAAGAGGGTCTGTAAATACAGCAGAGCGAGGCTTGCCGCACCGCCTGACATTTCATTCCTCACTGCGCCGGAGACAGCCTGGGAGAAGCCGTCTTTTAAATCACACGCTGTCCGCTGTAGTGTTAAAATACGACGATCCGGGCGCGGAGGCTCAGCACACAGCACGGAGCTGAGCCCCGCCAGGGCCTGGGCGAGCTGCCTCTGATCACTCTGCTTATTCTGCGTCCTTTGTTCCCAGCAGGGTATCCACTGGCAAACCACAACCCCGGGGACCAGGGGACCGGATCCCTCCCTGGCACCCTCTTTCCACACAGGGTGCTGGCTTACACGTAGGAGCCTGTGTGCTGTCCCTGTGGTGGGGACTTAGGAAGTGACCAGCTGAACTGCGCGGGGATCACAGCAGAGAAAGGCAAAGGGAGGCAACTAGGGGGGAAATCCGCAGATTTTACTTTTATTTGTGGAACTCTTAGCCTACCCCAGGGAAGGGGACATCTTTTCTGTTTTCTTAATTATCTTCATTGAGGTAGAATTGACATAGAGCCTTATCCTATATAATAAAAGCCTAATCTGCTAAGTGTCTGCTCCACCAGTCAGCTGTTCAACCAATCAAAGCGTAATATGCTAATGATATGCTAAGGCCGCTCAACCCCTTGCTATGATGTGCACTGACCACCAGGGAGCAGATGCTCCAACCGGTAGGTTGGTTTGCCACTGAGGTCCGGCAGATTGGGACTGAGCAAGTTGGGCCGGACACACCCTAGCGCCCTCCCACAGTCCCTCCCTGGTTGGCCAACCTCCCGTGTCTCTTTCCTGCCCCGATCGTGCACTGGGGGGGGGGCGAGGGGGCCCTTGGCCTGGCTGGCAACCTCTCGCCATCCGGAACCTATTGGGGGATATTGCACCAGGGAGCAGATGCTCCAACCGGTAGGTTGGTTTGCCACTGAGGTCCGGCAGATTGGGACTGAGCAAGTTGGGCCGGACACACCCTGGAGCCCTCCCACAGTCCCTCCCTGGTTGGCCAACCTCCCGTGTCTCTTTCCTGCCCCGATCGTGCACTGGGGGGGGGGCGAGGGGGCCCTTGGCCTGGCTGGCAACCTCTCGCCATCCGGAACCTAGTGGGGGATATTGGAGAGCTGCTTTTGGCCCGATCCCACAGGCCAGACCAAGCGACCCCACTGGTGCACAAATTCGTGCACCAGGCCTCTAGTATTATGTATATAATTCAACATGTGTGTAGATTGTGCAATGATCACCACAGTAAGCCTAGTTAACATCCATTCTTATATACAGTTATTTTTTTTCTTGTGATGAGGACCTTTAAGATCTACCCTCTTATCAACTTTCAAAGATGCAATACCTTATTGTTAACGCAGTCACCATGCTGTGCATGATCTTCTCATGGCTTATTTGCTATAACTGGAAATTTGCACCTTTTGACCCCCTCACCCATTTTGCCCACACCCACCCCTGTCTCTGGTATATCTCCTTATATTTGGAGAATGATGTTTCCCAGAGATATTTCCTTTCAACAAGGAGGAAAAGGAAAGAGAAGAAAAAAGGAGGGGTGGGGGCAGAGGCCAGTTTCTCTTCCTCCACCTTAGTAGGCAGCACATGATTCCAAAAAGGTAGGTGAGATCACTAAGGATAGAAGGGAGCAGGGAAGAGAGGTGGCCGAGGTGGGGATCTAGCACATCAAGGGATGCTTTGGGGAAAGTTACTCCATGTGCACATTACTTACATTAACCTTATATTTGGGACTCAGATCTGCTGTAGAACATTAGAACATGATCCTTCAATTTATGTCATAAAAGTAAGACTTGTTTTTCAAAAAGGATTCCCTATTTTATTCCTTTAGTAGAGGCCCGGTGCATGAAATTCATGTACTTGGGGAGGGGGAGGGTCCCTTAGTCCAGACTGCACCCTCTCACAGTCCAGGAGCCCTTGGGGGATGTCCGACTGACAGCTTAGCACTGCTGCAGAGGCAGGAGAGGCTCCTATCACTGCTGCTGCACTTGAGCCCAGCTTCTAGTTGAGCGGTGCACCCCTGTAGGAGCACACTGACCACCAGGGGGCAGCTCCTGTGTTGAGCATCTGTCCCCTGGTGGTCAGTGCACGTCATAGTGAACAGTTGTTCCACCGTTTGGTCAATTTGCATATTAGCCTTTTATTATATAGGATGTATCTAGCTCTCTGTGTTCATTAAAATATCATGTTATTAACAAATAGCACCTATAGAAAGCTTTTAAGGACTTCCTATGTGGCCTGTATCAAGATACCTTTGTACTCCACATTGTCTCTCCTCCCCACAGTCATTCTGTCCCTGGATTTCGGAGCTTCTTACCTCTGAGACGGTGCAGTTGAGCTGGAAGATCTGCCCTTCTCCTTCCACCTGTCGCACACACAGTTTGCAAACCAGCTCCACTGTGTTCAGGCTGAATCTTTCCAGAGTGAAAGTGCAGTGGAGGTTTCTTTGAGACCCACTCCAGATGTGGTAAAAAGGAATTTCCTAAAGGATACCAACGTGTTAACCACAAATGAGTGACTAATACCAAAGGTGAACTATCAGACACTGGGTTGCCAAGTACTCTTCTCAGCATTACACATATTACCTCATTTAATCACAACAGGCCTACCTCTCTATAAATCCATCCCAAACTGCTTTTCGAATGAAAACGCTGAGGCCCAGAGATGTTAAATTCGCCAGCCAAAGCCCCACAGCTAGTAAGTGGCAGAATTGAGACTTGAACCCAGGGAGTCAGCCTCCACAATCTCTATACCAAACAGTCTGCCACTTGTCTCTCATTTACAAAAAAAAAAAAAGCCATTGTAAATGGATTAAATAAAACCTGCACACTCCAGTCGTTGCTCATTAAAAAGAAGCCCTGCTGTGGTGTTCTGCAGAAAAGCAAAGAAGCTCTAAAGGACAATGGGCTGATCCAGGTCCCTTTCATGCCCATATCCTCCCTCTGCACAGGACAGAGGGAAAGCAACGTGTACTGTCGTTGGAAACTGTAGACTCGGTTAGCTGCCCCAGAGAAGCCCTTGGCCTAAAAACACTAAGCCTCTAGCTGGGGCTCCACTGTGCGTGCATTTTCACAAGTCTAGACCCCCTTACAGAGCCCATCCTAAAATCTGTTTCAATAAAGGGAAGAAAAAGTTGATACATAAAAAACGGATGGACAGGTGGCTAAAGGCAGAGAATGAAGTACAAATGAGGACACACTCCCCTCACCTACTTGGTGATTTGGGGCAAGTTACTTAACCTTTCCATGCCTCAGTCTCCTCATCTGCGAAAGAGTAAGCACAAGAATACCTAAGTCAAACACCAGCTGGCGTTAGATAGGTAAACCAAAGTGCATGAGTGGCTGGCTGAGCGTAGGCATTCAGCCAGCCTTCGTTGAACTAATATCAGATAATCATTAGAAACATACGATTTCCCCTTACGATTACACAAAGGAGATTGTTCATAAAAGGGGAAGACTTGTGGACTTTTATGGCAGTTGCAAATTAGGGAGAAGAAGAAAGTAAAGGAAGAGTTTTAATGAGAAAGTTAAAAGCCAGATCTCTCAATCAAGTGCTGAGTGATAAAGAAGACTCTGGCATGCACTCCCATCAAAGCGCAAGACTGCTATCCATTTGTCTCCCACCATGTATGTGTGAGTGTTACACATATGAGAATACGAATGGAGCTGGACAATCTCCCCTTCATTCCTTCTAGTATCTTCATTGACTTACACCAGGAAATCACAACCAGTCCAGTTGCAGTGCTGGCATGGGATGGGATTTACATGCATGTAGACCAGTCTTTGCAGCTTATCGAGGTGTGTCCGCATCTCCGGGACTGGAAATGAGGTTAGAGATCCTGCCACATAGTCTCCTGATAGCTCCGGCTGACAGAGGAGGAGGTGCAAACCCCTGAAGAGTCCCTATGCTCTTTCCACAGGAACATACAATGGGGCTTGGGGTCAGTATGCTAATATTTACTACAATCCTGGCCAGGTTTTATTATTATTTTTAAAATATTTTTATCGATGTTTAGAGAGAGAGGAAAGGAGAGGGAGAGAGAAAGAGAAACATTGATGTGAGAGCAGAGCATTGCTCAGCTGCCTCCTGCACGCCCCCTACTGGGGATCTAGCCTGCAACCTGAGCATGTGACCTGACCAGGAATCGAACCAGCAACCGCTTGGTGCAGGGGATGGTGCCCAACCAACTGAACCACACCGGCCAGGGCCCAGGTTTTATTTTACATTCTATTTCAGTTTCAAAAATGGGGTTTCTTCTAAGTTTTCAAAGTAAAGGTACTCTCCTAGCAAGGCCAAAGCCTAATTGTGTCACGAGGGATAACAGTGTTCTTCTGTTTCTCTTATGAATGCCTTCAAGAGTTTTTAAAATCAAGCCAATGTAAACATTTACCCTGAGAATGTCATGAGGGACTTGGAAGTCTTATTTGCTAACACTAAAACAATGATAGTTCAATTATTTGAAGGAGAATTAAGAAAAAGGCATTCCTTCAAATATGTCTAGAATATTTTTCAAAAATCTCAAATGATCCTAAATTAGTTTGGAGAAACAAGTGCTGATGTATGTCTGATTAACTTCGGAGAAGGGAATATGTTATGTCTAATAAGTGCAGTCCTCCTTCATGGAGTTGGCTCCAAGCCTTTAGCTCATCGTAGGCACCTTACCTGATACTTAGCCAGCAATTTGCTCTTCCAGAGGGAATGGGCGACGTCGTGAATGGACAGGCGCAGGTTGTGGGTGCTGCCTTTGAAATGAAGGGCCTTCGGTTCTTCTAGGAGCTGTCCTCCCATCTGTCTCTCAAGCTGCAAAACTTCCTGCAATGACATGGCCCAAACCGAAAGCTAGTTACTGAATTGTGTCACTTTCATCAGCTCTCTCCTCCAATGAGTGTTTCCTCCTTGCGCCTTCCCGCCACCCTGCTAACTTGTGCAATATGTGACCTCCACTGCTGCAGCCTGGAGGCCCTTCAGCTGAAGCCCCTGCCAGCGTGTATGTGACTGGATCCTACTGACCATCAACTCCGCCTCAGCAATCACACTGTGGGGGGCAAATTCATTACAGAGTGCACTTCCCGATGAACAGCGGACTGCTTTTGCACATACAGGAAAACACCCATAAGAACCTCAGATGGAAAAAAAAAGAACAGAAAAAGAAAAAATAGGTGGAAATATAAATAGATAAGTAGATTTTCAATGAACTTTTCGGGAAAAGGGAAAGTAACTAGCAAACAAACCCGTGTCTTGGACTTGGTAAAACCAGCTCATGAACAAAAATTTGGAATGTTTGGGGGAATTTTTTTTCAATCTTTTGTAGTTTCCATACCTACAGAAATAAAATAGTAAAATTTTGTTTAAAATAATTCATTGCAGGATTTCAAGTTATCAAAAAAAATGAATTGTGTTCACTATGTCTTATTAGAGGAAAATATACTGATGTAGATTGGAAAGGTTTCTCAGTATCATAATTGAACTAAACAATTACTTAGCTTAACTTTCAAAAAGAACATCTCAGTAACTGTGGCTGATAAAAATGCTATATAGCTTTACTTATACTATGAAGATGTAAAACGAAGACAAATTCTATATGTACTTACATCCCTCAAGCTGGTTAATGGGAGTTAATGGGGCATTTCCACTACAGCTGCAATTATCCAAACAGCACCAAACCACAGGTGATCAATGAACAAAATACCCTGGGTCTCCTTTGCTGTCTGCAGCATCCCTGTGCTCACTGTGCACACCTCATGCTTTAAAAGTTTTAGTGACACAAATACGAGGTACATTGCAACCTTTTTTTTAATAGGAGTTCAAGAAAACAACAGATTTTAAAAAAAATGGAATTTTTTTTTTCCTTTGGTGAGATTTCAATAGAAAACATGGGGTTCAATAACAGAGGCCGTTTTACACACATGTATTGGGCCCCTACCAGGATACCAAGCTCACATGGGTCACAGAGGAGAATTGTGACTATGGAACCAGACTGCAGTCCAGTAAGTGCAGGGCTCACCAACATCATTGATTAGATGTAGACAGCTCATTTTAAGCTGCTTCTTTAGCGGTTCTTAGCATCCATCCTCTCTGAGCCAGGCCACTATTCTGAACAAGGCAAGCTGCTGAGCGGTCCTCTAAGGCGTAGGATTTCAGACTGGGTCTGAAATGGTCTCAGACTGGGACTCCCCTAATTAGTGTCTAATGGAAGAGATGAGGCAATAGCACATTGACGGAAAGACCAGCATGGTCCAGCTGCTTGAGAGTATTGACGCTGAGGTTATTCAACTTCTCTGGCTGATGAGTAGCTATTACTTGTGACAGGAGCCTGAGCAGTCAGCCAGCCCCCAACCAGGCAGTTGCCACCCGGACACATATGTTGTGTCATGGTGCCTGGCTCCGCTGTGCCTGCAGCTCGGCAGGCTCTGAGGGACCCCAGTAGCTGCACAGATCCACCCAGCCCAGAACCACATGCTCCTCTTGGACCTCCTCCTACAGCACTTCACACTCCATTCTGGATAAGAAGCCGGCCATGTGGAAATGAAGACGCATAAGAAAAGGGAGGGTTAATTGCAGTTTCTTTTGCTTTAGCAGCCAACTATAATGAGCTAATGTTGATCATGTTCATGCTCAGTGTCTAGTTAGCATAATAGAGAAAGCTGATGTTCCCCGTGAACCTGGCACCTGACAAATTCTAAAGCTAAAATGATGTTTGTTTATAAGCCATTAGAAGAAAAGAAACATAATTAGAAATCTTTGAGATTACAGTCATGCCAATCAATCAGTTCTAGCTTCTTTCCAGTAGACCCTAATTACCTCATCAAGACGTCTAAAGAGCAATCGATAGTAATTATCTGATTACTATAGATCTTCATTATGTCCAAATTATCTCCCTGGGATGTCTGAAAAAAGATGCATTGCATTCCGGGAGGTAATTGTACCCAACAATGTATAATCCACACTCCATTCCTACAATCAACATAGATTGCAGAGGATATAGAGAGCATTGTCAGTTTTCTTGGCAGGGAGGACAATTGAAAAAAAAACCCTAAATTGCCTATTGGCCATGACCTTGAAGTCAAGAAATCTAATGCCACGTTTTAAGCACAAAGTCTGGGTTGGCATCAGCCCAAGACTCAGTCCTTGGCTTTGGCATTGACCTCCAGTCATGGTAAAGAGTTCTTCTTAGCATGGAAAAGGACTGGGCCAGCTTGAGTCCTTTTTAGAGAGAAAGTCCCAAGTAAAGTGCCATTTTATTACATTTTTTAATTTAATTTTTGTAGTTACTTTTTAAAAAAATGACAGTTGATATTGAATATTATATTAGTTTCAGGTGTACAGCATAGTGGCTAGATATTTATATAATTTACAAAGGGATTCTCCCTCCCCGCATAAGTCGCATAAGTCTAGTACCTTCCTGGCACCATACATAGTTATTAAACTAGTGTTGACTATATTCCCTATGCTATAAAGAAAGTGCCATTTTAGACAACGAGACAAGAAAACACACACTTTCCATATTCCTAAGCTCTCCATCTCTCTACCAACCAGGAATGACACTATACTGCTGCCCAGAGCTGGAGGAACCTGCCTTTTCTCCCCTTCAATTGGATGTGAACCCCGGTGAACGATATACTGCCCATCATGCTTAGAGCATCCATGCTCAGAGCAGAGGTCTCTAAACATATGTGATTGCCTATGCCTATCAGCCCAAAATCCTGAGCATGCATTTTTTGAGCGTTATGTTTATTTATAAATCATATACCTATATTAGCATCAACATGTTAATCTATACTAATAAAAGCATAACATGCTAATTAGACCGGACAGCCAAACGACCTTCCAGACATCCTTCCAGATGACCTTCCAGACAAAGCCGGGGCTGCGAGGGCCGAGGCCTTTGCACAAATTTCGTGCCATCAGGCCTCTAGTATATTATAAAAGCACAAACAAAGGCAAACACAGATAATTTATGCTGTTTTTCCCCCTAGGGTGTGCAAACTCCATTTTGGAGATTGCTGGCTTAGTCAGCTGTTCTTTCACTCATACCTTTTGGAGAAATCAGCCCAGGTGTAAATGACTCAGTTAAAAGGATTCTTACTGAACTGAAATTAAATGTGTGTGTGTGTGTTTGTGTGTGTGTGTGTATGTGTTGTTTTTTCCCCCTAAAAAGTAACAACTGGTATCATCACACTCAGGATGTTCAACCTCAAGGAAACAACAAAATAAAGGAAAAGACGATAACTAAAGCACAAATTAAATATATTTAAGTGGAAATTAAAGATATTATAATTAATAAATAAAACAACTCCTTGACAACTAAGATAACCTAAAACCATACATGAGTTGGAGATGACTTGCCACAGACAGCAAATCCCATATATGTTTGAGTTGGAAGACAGAAGAAGCAAGCCCCCTTGATGGGCTAATCAGGCTTTTACTCCATATTGTTATGGTTTAAGTATTATAATTTCAGATATTTTATAGCCGATCCCACTTTAAAATACTGTAACTTGTATTTCAAAAAGGTTGATTTCCGAAATTCCTTCTGCATGAAATTTTGGTTATTATACATATGACACAGATAAGTAAGAGAACATTAAAGTAACAGTTGTCTGAATCGGTAAGATACAGCGTCACAGTTCAGTGCTTTCCTTTCCTTAATCTTCCTGGGCACGTTCATTCAACTTCAATGAAGCCTCATGCTCTGCCAGGAACCATGCCAGGCTCTGGGGCACACAGACAAGTAAGTCCTGGTGCATCCCTGCCACAAGCCACTCAGGGATCATGGTCGGGAGACTGACAGATAAATATGTAACCGCAGCATAGAGTGCTCAGCTCCAACTCAGGCTGCCTTGGGATCCCAACCATTAGGATATCCCATACTTCTTAAAGGAGAATCGGAACAAAATCTATTTAAGGTCAAAAGATTTAGGAATACTTAAGAAAAATCTCATGACCTTGGAAAGAAATGCGGTAATAGGAATCAGGATCATCTAGGCTCTTTATTCTCAGAAATATCAATGCCACCTTCCTTGGCCAAGGTTGTCCTCCCTCCTGGCAGCACCCCACCTCAGGGCCTTGCTTGGCTCTGGGTGACTCTACCTGTTGCTCTGACCTGCTCGCTCTGCTTCTGTAGGAGAGGTCACTTTCTGGCTTTGTCAGCTCCATTTGCACCCTCTAACTTAACTTTTAAAAGACTCTCTCAGGGGTCAGTTATCAACAGAGGTGTTGCTAGCCCATCGCTTCACAGTAACACACACTAGAACCCCCGGAATAATGTCACCAGGAGCAGGCCCCTGTGTGTCAGAGCTTGGTTGCCATGGGCGCCTGAGCGATCCAGTGAGCTGGCTGCGTCCCCAGCGCAGTGGCCACCCAGCACAGGCCCTGGTGGAGGGCTGTATTGATTCAGGGCACCTATGAGGGATTGCACGGAAGGCAGGGACAAGAGATTCCACAGTAGAAACAAGCAGCTTTCACAATAACCAATTAAACCAAGACATTATCCATGTCGAGCCATTAGCCTGGGCCACTTAAGAGCCACAATAAATCCAAGCTGTTTTAAAAGGCTGGACGGACAAAGGGAGCCCTTCTGGCCTACACCCAGCGCTCTCGCTCTCTCCCAGGCTCTGAGATGATAGGCTCTTCCCTCATTACAGGCCGACAGAGCAAGGCCCGTGGGAGGAGCCCCACAGCCCCAACACTCTGGTCCCCTAACCCAGAAGGTCTCAGGGAGGGGTGGGGGCTGGCTACCATAGCATTTGAATTTCCAGCCCGTGTTCCAGGCTCTTCTGCCTTCTTTTAAAATATTATATTTTTTATTGATT